TGGACGGCAACGATCAACAATCAACTAGGAAAGGGACCAGTTCAAACCGGCTTTCATACACTCATTCACTAACATGCAAGTGGACATGTCCCTAAAAAAGAAACCATGTGCAAATGCACATATAGTGTGTAGTGTATCCTTGCAAAAGGGTTGCGTCACTGCCCCCCCCAAACAAAAAATCGCAATCCAGGCTCAGTACCGTTGACTGGTCAAACAGCTCAGCACCGTTGGCTCCGATCTACACCTCCCCAACCATGTGTGGTGTGTGTATATTATTGACTATACATGATATAATAGGGAGGCCACTCCCGGACGTCCGATCCATGAAACTGAATATACCCCAAACACTCCATGGGACTGCCATAGGACTGCCGCCCCTCTTCAACCCCTCTTCAACCACCTCGGGCACCCCGGTTGCCGTTGATCGGCAGTCCGAATCGGCTGGAAACCCGACAGGTCGTGTCTGCGTGGAACAGGTCCACCCAGGTCAAACCGCTCCGGGGGTGAAAACCATCGCAGTCTCAGACCAGCTCGAACGAACACGTGACGTCTTCGTCTTCGTGACGCGAAGGAGCGCAGCTGCTGCGCCTCGTTCCTCCAGGGCCTCCATGAAGCGCAAGAGCAACCCATCCGACGCCTCCACCGCCTCCGACCCATCCACGCGGCGGGTGGCGAAGGACTGGCGGCGACGGACGCTCATGGAGCGCAGGGAGCGTGTGTGGTCAGCGGAAGAGGCGATGGTATTCCAAACGAACGGGTTTTGGGTGAGACAAAAGCTCCATGTTTGCCCTAACCCCCAGAGTTTCAGCTTCACACAGAAAAGAAAACACTGTATGGGCATTATAGCCGCACATTCTCAGATACCATTTTGGTGCGCAAACAGGTTTCCGGTTTGATTCCTTCCGTCGAAAGCAAACTCTGAACTTGACTCCCCTCTCACCGGTTCTTGGAATATTCCAGTCATGCCAGCCAACTTGGAATTCCCACCTGAGGCAAGAACTTCTGCAGCCACGGCAGGGGCTTTCCAAGCGGCGCAGTGGCCTCGTCCGCGCGGGCGCAGGAGCGCCCCGGTAACACCCAATGATCCCTGTGCTGCCGCATCTGGGTGTGCATAGCTCCAGATAAGTGAGACCTCCCGTTTGAGCCCCTGAACGGTTCGGGAAATAGACCAGTCTATACCCATTGGTTGGAGGGGTTGTCCTGGATCTAAACTTACGGTGACTACGTATTCTAAAACCCCTCAAGTCACACTATCAGGCACAGGCCGTTGGGATTTGCGACTCGAAGAGTGAGGCGGACATTGGCATGCCCAGACATTGGCATCATCTATCGCCGTTTCGACAGGAGTTGGGCACCCAAACCAAGAAGCAACTGCAGATCTGGAGGGTTTCGGGGTTGGTCTCGAGAAAACGAAACAAGAAGCTGACTCAAACATGTTTAAAGAGATAGGATTAGGATCTGCCATGGATCTCCATTTGTCCACCTCCTAAAAAATGATGGATTCGTACCACGTCGCGGTATTTCGATGCAAATCACGATGACGTCAACAATCCACCACTTCCGCAATCCAATTCTCCTGTGCACTTGATCTTAAATGACCCATAAATGACCCATTCTCCTGGTCAATGTCGTTTGGAGTCCAACCTGGTTCTTCCACAAACGATTAAGTCGATTCCTGTGGCTCGGCTCGGCTCAGCGGCTCTTTCGTGTGGTCCATGTCTCCAGCTGGTTTCTCCATGGGTTAAGTGACCCCAAATAGGATCCTACTGGGGTACCTACGGGATAGTCTATAGGGTTCTTCAACCTCTGGTGGTCAGTTGGACCTTTGGATGACGAAATGCCAAGCAGCATTTCTGACAACACTGAGGGACTGCCTTTGAGGTTCTGAGGAGTACTCCAGGAGCTCTAGCTCTTGGCTTTCCAGCGCTGCACAAGGTGTTTCGGTGTCTTGTGCTGAAGGGAACCCCAAAAAAGTTCCAAACTCTGAGTTCCATCGAGTTTTCTGCGTAACGAACATGATCAATCTCCACATCCCCCGTGCTTTGCACTCAGATGGGCTATGAAAAATAACACTCCAGTGCAGCGACGGAAAAGTAGGCGGACGACCCGGGTGCCAGGCCTCGACCGTTCATGTGAGTTGCCATCGGGAGCGTATCATCAAAAGATTCATGTCACAATGTGTACGCTACCATCTACATAGTGCAACACGTAGTCATTTCCAAATCGGTCTCAAAAAATAGCTTTGCACCTCGAACAACACTTTCACAAAAAGGAGGCAAGCTTCAATCATACCCTCCACAGCCAGTGATTGCCGCTGTTTGAACGCCAAGCTCCGAAGCTCCCTTGAATCTCCAAAGACACCCGTTGACCAAGAACAGTTGATCATATGCAACTCCCCGTTTCAAGAAAACTTCCGGGAGTTGAAGCCTTCATGAACAGTCTACCATGACATGTCCCCAACAAACGTCCCAAAGCAGCCCGGTTGCCATCTGGTCATCAAGCTCATCCATGTCTTCGTGTGGCACCACATCGTCACTGGGCTCCACAGTGGTCACTGGAGACACCATCGCAGCCAGGCACGTGCCTCTGGACTTGGAGCTGGGATAGCTGGGCATGGGAGTGAAGGCATGGGCATGGGAGTGAACACTGTGTCCGATCAGTTGGGGGTGGTCTATTGTCGGGGTCTGGACGACTGGAGCGTCTGGGAGATGTAAATCCGGAGATGTCAGGAGCGGCAGGAGTATATTGAACTGACTATACCCCAAGAAGAACTGCAACTATAGGTGTATCCTCGCCCACGATTCCATGTAGAAGTGCACATCCTGAACTCTTTAGGAACGACATGTTTCGACGGACTCGTTCATTGATTCGTCAGGGATGTCAGGGACCGGTCAGAACCACATGCCTCGCTGTGTTCCGCACGGATGGGCTCGGGGCCTTGCAGTCTTCTCCGCAGACCACGGCGAGCTGCGCAGACCGCCAGGCTGCAAACCGGCAGACGGCTCGCCCACCAGGGAGTTTCACGCGCGCGGCTCGAGCGTGTTCTCAAGCTCCAGTGAGAAGGCGGTCTTGGGGAGCAGTATGGCCTCAGGTGTTTTTAGATGATGTTGAGGGACACAGTTGGCTCAGTTGATTCATTTCCAAGGGAGTGGTAGCTAGATGTAGCTAAGTACTATATATATATATTATAATGTATGGCAAACATCGTCAGTGCTAAACCCTAAACCCTAGCCATATACCCTAAAGTTCACCAGTGCTAAATGTTTGCATTTTGGATGATTGATGATTGATTTTAAACTGACCACATCGATGAAATTCCTGCCTATCGCATATGTAGGATCCCATCCCTTCATCATTGCGGTCTTCTGCACTCAATGATCCAACAGGAACCACAAGAAACGATCTTCCAAATAAAAAGCTGTGATAAGCTGTACAGACTGCTGTACAGTATATCTTCATCCCAGGATGCTCTTCCAAATAACACCATCCTCCCAAATGGTTTGTTCCATCCCCAGACTGTCGGGATTTCATCCCGACGGTCTCTGGGTCTTTCATCTGGCTGCCATGAGGCTCTGGAGACCCCTGAGCGCCAGCTGCGTGTCTCACGCGCCGCTGCCCGAGCACCTGGGGCTGGTCCGAAGCATCAATCGAAGGCACCGAGACAAGGCCAACCAAATGTGATGAACAATCACGGGGACATATGGGGACCCTTCTGGAAAATGGCATGGACAATGAATCTCCACATATCATATTGTAGAAAAATGTCTACAAGTATTGGCCCAACAAGAGTATTGCATGCAACAAGAGTATTGGCCCAACAAGTATTGTCTACAAGTATTGCATGCAAATGAGTTTGGCCCAACAAGTATAGCATCTTCCAGCAAACCAGCCTTGGCTGCGCATATCGCTCCAGCGGCAATCGCAAAAAAGCAGTGTTCAATAGCGCCCGAAAAGCGGTTCTCCCCGTTCTATGCCAAGAAACCATCATTGGTTTCTATCTGAATGGATTCCAAGGTTCATCCGAATGCCCTGTGAGAAATCTCTTAGTAGCGCTGCAAAATGGCGCAAGTGTTAACAGTTGACCCACTGATCCGCACCTCATCTCATCTAGCCGAGTCTCATCTAAGACTTCCCACTTGGCATCACGCAGGCTTGGTATCTGCAACGATGCCATGGCCAATCACCTTCGCCAAAACGACGCCATGGCCGGTCGTTGAGCACCTATAACGGCACCCGGATGTGTCGTTCGGTGGGGTGCTAGTGCACAGTCTGGAGCTTGATGCGGAAGCCAAACGGGTTTGTGGGACAGGAGCCCAAACGGGTTTGTTCTGTTCTGTAATGTCTCCAAGTGCAGTGCTCGAGCTGTCGAGGCGGCTGTACATTCCCATGAGTTCGCTGGTCTTAGTGATGAAAGCTGCTTCAGCGCTGACGATTCTACGGGTTGGGGTCGTAATTTGTCTTGCTGAAGACTGCAACAGGCCTTCCTGCTCAGAGCCGGATCTCTCCATTCTTCAACTACGAAGGAGCATGGACATGGCTACAGATTGTGACTACTTCAGATCTAGCAACCAAAGATCGATGAAGTTGTGATGGAACATCCTCTGCTGACTCCTCTGCTGATGCCCTCAACGATCAAAAGGATTCCATCAGCAAATCGTTGTTGCATAATGACTGGTAATGACATGCTGTCTCCGTTTGGACTTTCAAAAAAACAAGAGCCGAGGTCTTCCAACACTGTTCGTGGACACGTCAACACGGTTGCATCATGGTTACATCAAGTATACACCAGGGGCCCCAGCAAACCATCAAAACCCTGGTTCTCCCTAGCAAAACACATGGTTTTGGTATGTGAATACATCTGTTTCTCATGGTTTTGAGTTTTGAGGGCCACTGGCAGACATCGGCACCGAATCTTCTCCCTGCCCTCCCTACCACCTGGACTGAACTGGCCTCGCCCTGGCCTACCTCCCGAACACCAAAAAAAACTGGGCATCCGAAACCGTTCGGCATGGGTGGTGGCACCCAAGAGCCTCCGCCCTGCGAGCTGTTGAGGATCGGTCCCACCAGACACGCAGACCAGACCCGTCACCGACATCTGTGGACAAACAGGTTGAGACATCGGTCCTCTGGTTTTTGCTTGGTGGTGCAGCTATCCGTTCAGGTCCTGGGTTGGGAAGCAATGGGAAGCAAAGAGTTGGATTCCGATGGGTTCTTAGGCCCTCTTCCTTTCGAAGAGTCTCGGTATCTATGGTGCGACAAAGAACCTTGAGAGGGTCTAATTCTGTGTGGATACAAGTCGATGTAAGCCAAGACTGAAAAAAATAAACACACAAAAACACTAGATGACAGGGTCCTCAAGCTCTCATCATCTGATGGCTGGGTGGTACCTCCCGCCCCATCTGCTCAGCCCTTCGGTGTTCTCTTCGGTTGTCGCCTGTGGTGCCATCGGTGCAGCATAGACGCTGTTGGGACCCATTCCTGTGGGCTCCTGGAAGCTCGAAGAACGAGGACGCGGCTCGGAGCCACGGAGGGTTGATATAAGTACAACAACAAAGGATATAATAACCAGGGCCTGGACCAGGGGTGGTTAATGGACACCACGACCATTTTCACACCCCTTGGAGGGTTTAGGGTTTAGGGTTACACTTAAAATCTTAAAGGCTCCTTTGACTATGATCCCTTACACAATAGTGTACACTTATAATAAAGGATCATCATGTCAAGGGTTACACGTCAGTCATCGTCAGCCTGTTCGCTCTTGAGATGCCATCAAGGGATGCCGGCTCAGATAGATTTAGAACGACTGCCCGACTTCCTAGGTCACGAATCGAGACCTCAGAAAGGGCCTAACAACCTGTCACGAATCGAGACTTGTAGAGTCGGGTGCTGGTACTATAGTTACTAATTGGTAATATGATTGTTTTCAGTGTTTAAACTAAAAAACAATGAAGCCGCAGCTACAAAGGGCAAATTTCTCGAGAATGCACCAATGATGACTAATGAGTCTAGTCTGAGGTAATGATTCCTTACGGGCATGTCTCCCATGACAACTTTCCCAGTGGATGTGCAGAAACCTCATCAGGTTTCCAGGCCTTTCCCCCAAAAAAGGAATCCTCTTTGACCGACAGCTAACTGCTGGGCACCCCCGAAACAGACCCCTCGATCCCGAACCCACGGCGCCGCGAGCGGCGGCATCGCCGTTCGGTTCGACGGGTCGACGTCCTGGGGGACTCCAGGCCTGGCCCGTCTGCGGCTCGCAGGGAGGGTGGCTGGATCTGAATGAATCCATCTGAATGCTATATAACGTAATTATCTATAGTGAGGGGCATGAATCCATAATAATCCATCTGGATGCTATATAAAGTTATCTATAGTGAGGGACTTAAGGGGTGATGCCCTGAATTCTCTGCTTCAACAGCATCGGAGGACTTAGGTTCCTTCGGCGTCGCAACCGCGTTCCCGCCGAGTCAGAGACGGTGTTTGCAGCGACCGCGCGGGGCCGACGGTGTTTGCATTGCGCGGCCCTCGTCATGGAGGATGAGTCTACATATCAAATGCTGTGGATGAGTCTACCTCGAAAAATGTATATGGGTCCATAATGTCCATATGCAGGTGACATAAGAAATACCATGACATCACTTACGTAACTCATGGATATGTATATATATATATAACAATGGTTGGATAACAAATCCTATCAGCGATCAGGGCACAGAGTTTGCCGACAGGAGCATTCCAAAAGGTTGAGATCTGGCTGACCAGGTTGACCACATGAGCCACGACCGTGACACCAAGAGTCACGTCAAATCCATGACCCACACATCGGCCGAAGATGAATGACTCCTAGGTGATGAAACAATAGTTAAACATACTCCTTTCTGAGGAGTCCTTACCAGCATCACCCAGATTAATGATATTAATAACATCAATTACATGACTCATTATATGTATATCGGTTATTGGATGGAACATGCATCATCGGTGGGGGGGGTCTATATTTCCTCCCCGAACTGGGTGGGAGCTGGTAGATTACTTGCACAATTTGATCAATCACTGTGGTCGGCTTCACTAGCCGTTCGGCACCTGAAAAAGAAAGAATCCACCTTTATTGTGGATAGAGAGTAGATGGCGCAAGTTACCCCAAGTTTGGTGGTTTATGTAGATTCCCGTCTGTCGGATAGACATGCAGGGGTGCTGCCATCGAGCCTCTGAAACCGCTGTAAATGACTGGTTGGCCTCTGAAGCCACGAACCACGAACCCCCACCGCTCAAGAGGTGGTTGCTTCGGGCCCCAAAAAACCGTTGTCGCAGCCGGAGAGTTGGGCCTCAAAATGTGTCCAGAACCCTCCAAAAGCAGCCTTTTTCAGATGGATCTTATGATTCTTAATGGTGCGTATTTTTTCGAAGGAGTAGCTATGGGATCGGTCCCTTTCTGGGGGGGATCCCGTGCGGTCTCATGCTGCACGCAAGGCGCTGAAGCGGACCTACTGGGCTCCCCCAACCCATGCAACTTCTGAAGGTCCTGGTGAAATCTCGCCTGGACCTGATTTCGGATAGGCCACAAAGACTGGTACGTAGCGTCGACAGATGTCGACAGAATGCGACTCAACAAACGCTTTTGGAGTCCAGGAGCATCCTTGCTAGGTATCTCCAGTGGACAAACAGACAGGATCTAAAGGTGTACAGTCCAGGACCATCCAATCAAATAGGTGTCTGGCTGGAGCCCCGCCCCGCCCACACGACATCCCGACATCTCCAGGGGCCAGGATGGTCAGAACATCGCATTTCTCTGTTCGGCGCTTGGCACTCACTTGATGTAGACTGGACTCTTGATTGATTCATCAAACCCATGTCATTTGGAAAACTGGAACCTTTTCATCAAACCCATGGAACCTACGTCTAATAATCAATTAGTAAAGAACCAACAAATCCCAATGACCATCCGGGTCACCTGTCTGGATGGTCACCCTGCACTACCTAATACCTACTATGTCCCACACGTCGGTCACGTCGGATGGTCGGACCGAACCTGCCATGGACCCAGACTGGAAGAGTATAGCTTCCTGGAATAGACTCTGGAGGTTTTCAGGTTCCTGCCGTGAATTTTCCAGGGGCTTTATCTGTTCTTTTCAAACATGGACCGGCATGGATTGGACCAGCATCCCGAGGTCAACGTGAAAGCGGAAGCAAACGAGACCCCGAACACATCATCTTTCTGACATCGGCATTATTGATGTTTAAACATGACATGTAAGCTAACCCAGCATGTATTTTTGTATGTGTCAACAGTCAACCCCTATGTTTTAATCATGATCATCGGACTGGTTCTTTGTTGTTTGCTTTTGGGGCCCGACCTCTGTGTGCTCCTTCTGCAGCTCGGCTTGCTTCTTGGCCTGGCAGCCGAAAACGCTCATGATTCTGTTTTCAGAAACGGGAGGTTCAAGGTTGCGGTGGAGCTGCCTATGATGCTCCAAATACATCCGCAGAATGTAGGGAGTGACCCTCCCAGTCACTCTACCTAAGTACCTTGTCAGGAGGTAGGTGGAGCGGAAGGGTAAGAACATGTGACATATGTGTGTGTGCGTTCCTCACAAGTGGACATATGCATTCTGTATCATTCTGTGCTAAGGAAGCAGCCATCTCTTCTTGCATCCTCTGCTGCTGGTACCTCTGTGCAGGAAAGGTTTTTTTCGGCAAAACAAGGAGGGATGGGAGCAAAGTTGGGGTCCAAGTACAAAATCTGGGCAGAGTCAGTGATGTTAGAGGCTGTTGGAGGTTACTGCTTCGGGATTTACTGCCTCACTCTTTGCCCGAGCTTGGTGACCAGCTACTAGTCGCCCTCACTAAAGGAACACAGTGTCAAAACTGTTTGAGCAACACAGTGTCGATGGTCCTTCTGCAGCAAATCACTCAAGAGACTGGCGGCAAAAAGGATGATACAAGCAGCGAGGCCAAGATGCCAATGCATGATCAATGATCAATGTGCTGAATAGTTCTCAAAACCTCTGAAAAACACACCAACTTGCTGTCCTTCTATGCCACGACAGCGAAAAAACCCCTCACACACACACAAAATAACATGTGCCATGCATATGCACCTGTCCAGCAAATGATAGATGGAGATGGGTCCAACACGAACACAACTTGGGCCATGAAACAAAGCAAACGCAGATCTTAAGGCCTTCCCTCCGCATTTGTTCAACCCAACCTAGCCACCCAACTCCAGAAATGGACGGTCCATTTCTCGATGTGCCAAGGAGGACCCAACCAGCCAACCAGCTCTTGCACAAGAAAATGGAACTCTCCAACTACTATCCCATAGCTCCGCTCTTGGTTCGTTCTTCAGGCACTCCATGGTGAGCTGCATGGCCTGCTGTTCCAGGGCGGCCTGCGGTCGCTCGTCCGGACGAGCCTGCGAAGGAAGGCAGGGGGGGCCCCACGGACACATGCGACTGCCAAATGCCAAGCCCCGGTCTCAACCTTCTTCAGTGTTTTTTTTACAGTTCTTTCTAGAATGATTCCTTCACGAATTGAATCCCTTCACGCTCCAACGAACCTTGCAGGCTACAGAAACCCCTTCTCAGGTTGACGCCCAAACCTCCGACCTCGAACTGCCCGAACCATCCTAACCATCCGAACCATCCTTCCCTCCACCTCTGCGATTCAGATCCACCGAATTCACAGATCCCTGGTTCAGATCCGTTTGAACGACCTCCCCTTTTCCGCGAGGTTCGTTGGCACCAGGCGAGTCCGAGTTCGGTGAGGTTCGTTTTCGACCCGTGCGGGTGTCTCCCATGCCTTCTGCTGATGGTACTGCTGATTCAGCTGCAGGAGCTGCTGATTGTACTGCTGCGTGAGAGCCATCTCCTGGCGACAGTGTCGAGGGGTTGGACGGAACTGGTTCTTCTCCGGGGAAGACAGCGAGACCGCGAGACAGACGGCACCTGTCAGACAGAGACCAATGGGTGAAAACTCTAGCAGAAAGTACTTGAATACCTGGAACACTGTCTGTTCCAGTGATCCCAGAATATACTAATGAAACAAGAACTGGAATCCCGTGGATTCCTTCGTCACCGATCTCTTGGATCATTTTCTGTTTTTGGTATTTGGAACCTTCCACACTATTCCACACGTTACTCATCTAACCATACCTGTTACTCAATCATTTACTCATCTAACCATACCTGTTGCTCCGTCTGATCAAGCCGTCTGCTCTTATCCTCTTAAGATGGAGGCGTCCTCTGCGCGGAGGATGCCTTCATCGACACACCCGACTTGTCCATCAACATCTTCACTCAGTCTCTCCCACTCGCTCCATACATGCTCTCAACTAACGCAAGGCTTCTTTTCCACAAGCCAAGCTCGTCCAAGATCTTCTACTCACACAGGAACGCAAGGAATGCAAGGCCAAGCATATGGATGAGTCATGCCAGATTCTACAACCAGAGTTACCAAAGTCCACGTCAATGGAGACTCAAATTGCTTGCCACAGGCTAACTTGCACTCCAGCATGGAACCTGCTCTCTGAAGAGAACAATCTCACCTCTCTGATGGCTGTGGGTCATAGTGGTCAATGCATGTCAATACTCATGCATGAAAGCTATGGACCAACGTACATGAAACTGTCCTAGAGATGCTTCCAGCACCCCAAAAAGGGTCAAGACAAGCTTTCATCGATGTGAAATCTTACGGGAGAACATGCATGCGTCTTGCGTGAGATACCGGACATGTCCATGCAAACAGTCTTCGTCAGCCAAAGGCAAGGAAGTGCAGTGTCTACTCTAGCTCCTAGAGGCTCACATCCTAGAGGGGGTCAACTGTAAGCACGCAGGGTGCGACAGGATCTCCTAGCTGAGGATGCACTGGGTGAGTCTCATTGCCACTCCAACATGCACTCCATTTATACCTGAAAACTCAATCCATCGAAATTATATGTTGTTTCATATGTGCTTTTCATGTTGTTTTTTGTCTCTTCGGTTGTACCAAGCCACCGTCATCATTGAGGCCGACATCTACAGCTCATGGCTGTCAGCCCACTCCATGAGTTGACCGTGGGCATCGGAACCTGAGGCATCCGCGGCTGGCGTTTTTCAGCACAGCTGATTGAACCGGTAGGGCATCAGGTCGCTGGTAGGGCATCAGGTTGCCTCGAATCCCTGTAGGGCCGGTAGGGTCGAGTCCCACATCAAAGGTACAGTAGAACATGGTCTTGGGTTTTCTGAGGAGAGCGCGCTGAGGAACAACAAAACTAAATTGTTTCCTTCTTTGCTTCTTTCCTTCTTTCTTTCTTTCTTCCTTCCTTCCTTCCTTGCTTCCTTCCGCCAGGGTGTCAATATCCCTTTGGGGTTGTTTAGGTGCAGTGCCGTTCAAGGTATGAAGAAACAATTTAATTTTGTTGTTCCTCAGCGCGCTCTCCTCAGAAAACCCAAGTGGTGTAGGGCCGGCCCCCCTGGTAGCCACAGGAGATCACAGGATCCTGACATTTTGTATGTGGGACAGCATCCCAAACAGGAAGCTCCAGGTAGCTCTGTATCATGGAGGTGCTGTAGGGTGCTTGGAGCCCAAGCAAATCCAGACTGAGCTAGGAGATTTAGGGTGCTAAGTCAATGAGCAGCTCAACTGTTTTCATGCTGATTAGCTGCCCCCCCATGGAAGTGACCACAGCCAAACATACACCCAACATGGAACCTGATGTCATTGACCAGACTGGAAGACTATTTTCCTCTACAACCCAGTGGTTTTCAGGTTCCATGTTAACCTTCCAGAGTGTATCATGGCTCGTGTTGTGCCAGAATAGTACCTAACACATCCTAACAAGGGCCCGAAGAGAGGTGATGCCGGGGCGTTGATTCACCCAAGTGCCATGTGTCCTGGAAAAAGGTTGACCTTTTCCAATAAAATCTCCGCAGGGTCATGTCTATTTTTTTGTCCAAGGTCCAACGAAGAAACACTCCAATATCGTTCAGAGCTTTTGTCTTCATCCGAAGATTGCGCAGGGGATCAGGAACATGGTTCTGTTCGAAACTTCATGCCTCACACAAACTCGGACATCGCCCGAATCGTCAGACTGGTGCATCTTCTACTCCATGAAAACCGTGTCTCTTCCTCGCGCGCGAACCGTTCGGTGTGTGCTAAAAGGCTACTGGCCAACTCTTCTCTGGCGTTCTCCAGCTCTTCTGCAGTAGCCTGGTTGTCCCCATCCTGCCAGGAGTCAGAGCGACTCTGTCATCCGCCAGGCAGAAAAAATCTAGAAAATGCAAAACGAGCCACAACAAAAACAGCAATATAATGACGGTTGACTGTTACAGTCAAATCATATTGTTGGCTGTTGAATGTTGGGATTGGAACCGGAGAACAGTCATGTTCACGATTCCTTTTTGATTGACTTTCCAGAAATGGAAGATCTGGATGGCACATCTCCCAGGATGACCTACACAGGATGAGATGAGACGCATCGTCTCATGGCCGTTTCTCATGGATCATGTTGGTTCCAGTGGAATCCACACACGGAAGACTGCATGGGTGTCCTGCATGGAACGGGAGGCCCCAACTGCCCCAACTTCTCCAATACAACAGAGAACCAAATGACGAACCACTACCCAGTGGCGGACTAGTTTGAAGATATCCCAGATATTTTCTCTGTATGTCAGGAACTCTTGCCCAAACAGTGGCATATTGGCCTGCGTTGAACCCTGAAGCCACCCCAATGTAGGTAGATATGCAAGTCCTAATGAAACAACGATTCCAACACCATTCTGGCCGGCATCGTTTTTCTCGTCCCAAAATCTGATTGCTTCGCCTGGGAAGGAAGGAATGAGCTCCCGAGATTCCAAATCGGACCCAGCCACCCTCAGCCCACTGAAAGTCGCTCGGCGCTCAGAGGGTGCGGTGCCGTCCTTGTCCGCAATCTGAAGCAAATGGATCATGGCCTCATCGACCACGAGAACCACTCGACCGATTCCACGCGCGACACGACACGTCGCGTTTCGAAACGCCCGCCGCCCGTGGTCGCCGCGTGGCATTTGACGACACACGTGCTTAGCGGTTTTGCTGCCAAGGTACAGCTTCCGTGTGGAAGAGGCCCGACTCCCAGATGGCAAGCTCATCCATATCCAAGAGCCCATCACCTTCTTTCATCATGACCACTTTTCAGATGCGTGGATGGTGCGATCTGATCATCCCATCCAAAGGTTCCAAAGTAGCTGGTATAACGTGTTTTTTTCTTGATGTGAGACATTCATCTGCCACGTTTATCAACCAACCCAAATCACATAAACATCTTGACACGTCAAACGAGACCAAACCAAAATGGTTTCAAAAGCTTCGCGTCAGTGTGATGAGGAGGAGGCTGTCCTGTAAACTGCATTGAAACAGACCCAAATCAACATCCAACGACAAGTTTTGCTGTCGACCTCCAGCAAAATTTGTTGAAACACAAACGATCCAGGGACATGCATTAAACAAGAGTGAACAATAGTGAACATGTCCAGCGTCGAGATTTTCCCAAACACACGGGGGCATTCTGGAAAGTAGAACATTTGCCTCCCACCACACTCTCCCCAAAACAGGGAGCACCACCCCAAACATGGAGATGTCATCATCTCAGTGCTGGATCGTCTCTTTGCGGGTGTGAATATTCCCCTCCCTCATGCTTCCCAGCACCAAAACCGCCCAAAACCACCCGTGGGGCCCTAGGGCCGGTGAAACCTTTTTCACGGCTAAGGGTATCTATACATCCATGGCCCCTTATCAAAAGGTTCAGAAAAGGAGACTCCAAAAAGCACAGGGTGACCTGTCACAACTTGGACCAAGTGGCCGTTCTTGTCCAACTTCTTGAAGTCCTTCATCTCCTCCTCTAGCCTCTGAATCACGCCATTCAATCATTCAATATGCGAAAATAGCCTACGGCCCGAGGTACACCAAGTTATCAAAAGCTGCCGAATTCCCCAAATTAGATCATCCGCCCCAATACCTAGAGAATCTTGCAGTGTTTATTTCCGCCGTCATGACAAAACACACGTATTTTTTTGCGGCAATTGAAGAAACCCGCCGCTTTGCCAGCTGTGACTCGCTTTTCGCAAACTCACAAGAACACACCACTCACTGACAGGACGCAAAAAAACGCAGGTGTTCACACGTGGCAAACCATGGACGACATGTCCACGCTGCATGGACAAACACGTTTGTTTTTTTTACGATGCCGGCCCCAGACCTCAGAGTTGAGAGACGAACTCGTCGCAAGCCGAGTCGAGTCCACACCGCAAGTCGACTCAATGAGATGAGTCGACGGCAGGTCGACACAAAACCGCCCGTTCTGAACCCTGAGCGGCATCAAAATGTCCATAGTGGAGTCTGTAGGTATAAAGATGTATAAAGACGGACTCCTGGCCTGATCTTCCATCCTGATTCGAGCCCACCACGTTGTTTTTGGTGCTGATTTTCAGGGCGTTTACATGCCCTTTTTGGGGCTCCTGGTCCCACATCCGAACAGAAGCAAGCTAGTTTGGACAGCCAACCGCCCCACCCACCCCACCGAACCCCACACTGCCACCGAACCCCAAACGGATGTGAGACCGCCCCGTTCCACACCACGTGGCTGAAGCTTCTCGTCCTCCTCCATCGGCTTGGTCCCCTCCACGTTCCTTGCCATGCGGCCGAGGTGCGGGTGTGGTACCGGTGCTCTTCACAAACACACGAGGACCGTGGTACTCGTGGTCTGGGACTGGAAGAGGTGCCTAGAACCCCATCAAAAAGAGGTATGGCATACAGAATTGAACATATGGCATACACAAGTGATTGGTGGAAACAAATCATCCAACGCCAGGGGCTGTTTCACCCGCAGCAGTTCTAGGGCTAAAAAGGTGGAG